AAGGCCCAGAAAGAGTACTCGTTCAAGGACGAAGACGTTCCCGCCATCTTCGAGTCTCTTCTCGAAAACAACAAGATCAAGCTACCACCTATCGTCAATCAGGAGGAAGCTGACAATACTGCGGATCCGAAGTACTACGCATATCACAGGAGCAGACCTTGGTTGAAGCCGGCGTCATAACGCTAGGGTAAGCCAAATGAGAATGGAAAGACTCCAAAGGGTATACGAGTATAAACTATTTCTCAACACTCCGACAAGTATAAGAGTATAAACTGCTCCTTCCTACACTCCGACAAGTATAAGAGTATAAACTGCTCCTTCCTAGACTCCAAAGGGTATACGAGTATAAACTGTTTCTCAACACTCCGACAAGTATAAGAGTATAAATTGCTCCTTCCTACACTCCGACAAGTATAAGAGTATAAACTGCTCCTTCCTACACTCCAAAGAGTATATGAGTATAAACTGCTTCTTAATCCTCCGACCGGTATAAGAGGTTAAACTGCTTCCTGATACTCCGACAATTATAAGAGTATAAACTACTTCTTAACCCTCCCACCGGTATAAGAGGTTAAACTGCTCCCTGATACTCCAATAGGTATATGAGTCTAAACTGTTTCCTACCGTTGATGGGAAGTTCCTGGAGAATGTTACGCTAATATTCTTAAGGATAACCCGGACATGTAACGGAGTACAAAGTCAGACCCAGTTCCAAGAAAGAAGCTGGGGGTGGATGATTCATGTAATGGAAAGTTCCCAGAAGAACGCTATATGTAATTTTCTTAGGGATTACCCGATAATTACGAACAAGGTGATAAACACTAAACCCCCACTATGATTTGTACTCCCATCCTCACTGTCTACCTGGTCAAACCTTCCTATAGTTAGGACCACAACCAAAGTCCCCTCTCGATTCCTTCCATGAACGAGAGGTCCACTTTCAAATTGAACGATCAAGCCTGTAAAAGGTAAGATCATCTCAAACCTCCCACTTTCACTGCTTCCTTGGTCAAACCTATAAAAGTTAGGGCCACAACCAGATTCTCCTCTCGATTCCTTTCATGAACGAGAGGTCCACTTTCAATTGAGCAATCAAACCTATAAAAGTTAGGATTGTCTCCAACTTTACTTAGTCAAACCTGCAGATAGTTAGGACTAAGATTGAGTTATCCTTTTCGATAAACGAAAGACTTCCATCTCTTCCTTTTTCCACCAAACCTATAAAAGTTAGGGTCGAAATTGGGCTTTCTCCTCAATAAATGAGGGACTCTTTTTGGATCGAATGACCAATCCTATAAAAGTTAGGGTCTTTTGAATCTTTCCGATTCTCAGGGTGGAGATCCCACTCTTAGTTTCATCATTTCGGATTCTGGGGGTGGAGATCCCACCTTGAGTTTCCTTTCCAACTGGAGATAGAATATAAAATTCTTCCTCTTTAGTACCGGGAGATAGAATATAAAATTCTTCCTCTCCCATTTTCTAGTCTGCCTTTGTTCTTAGAAAAGACACAATTTTCAACTTCCAATCCGGGCACTTTGCGCACGGGGAATTTTATCTCAACTCCTAAATAGAGATAAGCCTACGCCTAACACGCGTTGCCGGTTTAGTCTTTCACCGATTAAAAAAGACACCAGAATCCAGTCTGGGGAATTTTATCCCGAAGCCTAAGCAGGGATAAGCCAACGCCTAACACGCGTTACCGGTTTAGTCTTTCACCGATTGAAAAAGACACCAGAGTATAATTCTGGGGACTTTCATCCCGAATCCTAAGTAGGGATGAGTCAACGCCTAATACGCGTTGCCGGATGCCATATTCCCGTAAGAAATGGCGAAGTCTATGTATTCAAAATCATAGCATTAAGTCTAAGAGAAGCAATTCTCTTAGCACAACGTTACATGTGAAACGGGTTTTAATAATTCACATGCTAGCCCGATTCAAACGGTAATCGGTAAAGGCACGTCAAACCCGTTGATGGCTGAGAATTTGTCAAAAATCCCAAAGTCTATGTCTAACACGCATTGCCGGTTAGTCTTTGACCGTAAAAAGGACAAAAGACCACATATTCAACATTATGGCAGGTTGTTATTAATAACACCATAATCCGTGCCTCACACGCGCGGGGAATTTTATCCCGAAGCCTAAGCAGGGATAAGTCAACGCCTAACACGCGTTGCCGGTTTAGTCTTTTACCGATTGAAGAAGACACCAGAATCCGAGTCTGGGGATTTTTATCCTGAATCCTAAGTAAGGATAAGTCAGCGCCTAACACGCGTTGCCGGGTAGTCTATTCCCGTGAGAAAGACGAAGTCTACGTATTCAATGTCGTAGCACTAAAAGAGTTAACTCTTTTAGCACAACGTTATGTGCAGAACGGATCTAAACAATCTGCATGCTAGCCCGACTCAAACGGTAGTCGGTAAAGGCTCATCAAACCCGTTGATGGCTGAGAATTTGCCAAAAATTCTATAAGTGTGAGTCATTGATGCATCAACTCTGTTAGTTGGTCTCGTGACTCGATTATCCAACAACATTAAAATAAGATTCACAAATACAGACGAATCAACTTGAGACCGCTATGCTCCAATACCTTAAGAGCTTAAACTGTGTATACTCCAACAAACGTACGAGTATAAACTGTGTTAATGGCGATTCAAAATCCTAGGGTCGACGCTGATCAACGCGTAACCCTAGGTCAACGCCAGTCAACGCGTTGCGACCAAAGTCAACGTTTGACGATTCGAAACCCTAAGGTCAGCGCCGGTCAACGCGTAACCCTAGGTCAACGCCAGTCAACGCGTTGCAACAAAAGTCAACGATCGATGATTCGAAATCCACACGAGTCAACGTTCGACGATTCGAAACCCTAGGGTCGACGCTGATCAACGCGTAACCCTAGGTCAACGCCAGTCAACGCGTTGCGACCAAAGTCAACGTTTGACGATTCGAAACCCTAAGGGTCAACGCCGGTCAACGCGTAACCCTAGGTCAACGCCAAGCAACGCGTTGCAACAAAAGTCAACGTTCGACGATTCAAACCCTAAGGGTCAACGCCGGTCAACGCGTAACCCAAGGTCAACGCCGGTCAACGCGTTGCGACGAAAAGCTAACACACGATGATCCGAAACCCTAAGCCAGCACAATGTGGCGGAGGTAGTTCAAAGTCAACTCAATGACACGAGCCAAACTCAATTCATCAGCTGCAGACTCGAGACTCCGACGACGGCCAAGCGATAAACGCAGCGCCGGAAGAACTTCGGCTATTCGTCAAAGCATCGAATAGACCGAAAATCGAAGGAGCCAAGAGTTGAAGCTAACCACAGGTCCTTACACCGACTGAAGGCCAGACCAATCACATCCAAACTATTCCAGCCTCTTCTATAAAAGAAACGAGTCAGGAACACTTTGGAGGGGGTATCTGTAGGCATCAAAAATTGCCTATAGGTCTCCACGAACGGTTCAGTGTTAAAGAGCGACGATGAACGTCACTATCCGATCCACAGGAGTTCAATTGACGTCGATGAATGATTGAAGTGAATCGACGAACTACGTGAGCTGATAGAATTCGAAATAACGAGAAGCACGGGCACATCGGGAACCCTGCGATGTTTCACAAAAAGAGCAACGTCCTTCATATCTCGTTCACTCTCAGATAATCCCACCAATGTGGAGCGATAGAACTCTTCGCAAGCTTCCAAACGCAACTTGGAATCAACTCAACATCGAAGTTTCGGACGAAGAATTTAGTGCCGAAAAGAATCAAAACAGTACGCACGGAGCGTCTGCAGCGCGATGAACTGGGACAACCCGGGGTATCATCGGGAAAGTCGAAACCCCCAGGGGTGTCTAGGCAAAAGCGGCCAGACACCCCAAGAACCCCAAGCGGCTGTCTCGGCTTTGCCTAGACACCCCAGGGGTGTCCTAGATTTTTGGGGACACCCCAGGGGTGTTGCCTATAAATAGAAGCCTTAGGCCTCACTTTTGGGGATCTGGATTTTTGGAGAATTGGCGAAGCCCTGCTGGAGTGAAGAGTGATCGAGCACTTCAACACAAGAGAGTTCTTCATCAGATCTACATCACCCGCATCCGTTCCTTAGCATTACCCCTCGTCGGTAATCCTAAGAAGAGCAAATATCTCGCTTTATCCGAGATATGCGCTTCAAGTTTCTAGATCTCCTCGCGGATCGACGAAGCTCTGCCCGATTTTTCTGGATCAGATCTGATTGCCAGGTAGTCCACGGATATCGACCTCCCCATCACAGGCTAAAGACCCACGCAAGCAAGAGACGATAAACGGATCTTGTGTTTATTTTCAAGAAAGTTATAATTTTTATTTTCGTTGTTTGAATTCATTTGTAACGTTTGAAGTTTTAATGAAATCAATGATGAAGACAACGTTTGACGAAAACATTTCCGAAAATACTCTCCCCCTTTTCTTCTTCTTTCTTCGTCTTCTCTTGTGTCTTTCTCCTCCTCCTACTACACTTTCTCCTCTTCTTATCTCCTCCTCCTCTCCCCTCTCTCTTCTCCTGTAAGAGTCAAAGAGCAGACGCCTGGATCCAAGAAATTATGGCTCCCACGGTCCCCAAGCTTGAATCCGAAGATACCTCGATCCCAAGAATCCCTCGGATCCCTAAATCGCTAACACTAATCCCCCGTCCCCGGATCCCAAGCCCTCTCCAAACTCTCTCCCTAAACCTCGCCGAT